ATTTCATAGCATTATTTTGACCCTTGAATATATTTGAGTTGTTAATATACAGGGTGACAGGACAAAAGAAGTTGACATTGATTTATTGTACATTTTTAACTGCAAAAGCTTTATCCCATTATTGGCAGTGTAGCAATTTTCAGTATATGTGCTGCTGAAGTGAGCACAAGTGTAAACAATTTTTGAAAACTAAAAAATTCTCACTAGAACAGGCTTTTTGTGTAATTACACAAAAATTTCATCGTATTTTTAAGATAGCCACCTTTTAAAATTAAGACATATTATGTAAAGGTACAGATCTCCAGTGATGATTGTCATTATATTGTATACCTAAAATGTACCAATAAAAAGATGGCCACCTTGTAAAGCTATATAGGAATTGTAGTATATGTATTGCATAATAAAAGGGTGCCTTTTAAAATGCAGAACTGTTAAAACCATTTGCTTGAATTCACAAGTATTTGGAGAGTAAACATTGAATCAATTATTCATGGAGTAAAATTCCTTTGTCACTCTAGGATTCAAAACACTGTAATTTCTAGCTTTAAATATTAGTATCAATTGATACTAACATTCTTCATCAAAATATATTTTAAAACTTATACAGTCACAGTTGCAGTTGAAGCAGGAAAACATCCAAATAAATGGGATAAGAATCTAGACTCTCAAACTGATTGAAACAGGAACACTGACATCTAAATTGCCACATAATCTAGGTTTTATAAATTGTTCTATGGTACTGGCTAAAACTAATGTTTTAATTTTTAAGGTGTACTAATTTTTTCAAATATTTTACTCAAATTATGCTGTTAAAATAGCTATTGCATATTTTTGTATATGTATTCTTAAAATTTGAAAATTCAGTTGAGTACAAAGATGTTAATTTTAGATATATAATTTCCAAGTTGTTTGGCTAGATTCCTAGTTGCCTTATTTAAATGATTTTTTTTTTTTTTGTTTTTTCACAAGAGGAAAAAGGGTGAGTTCCAAAATGATCCTCAAGGTAAGGAACATGCTTGTAGGGAAGGTTGGATATTTTGGACAGCAGTGTACAGGGACAGATACTGACAGTAATGAAAAGCTATGTAGCACGATGAAAAATTAGTGAGTTCCTTTTAAATTTGTTAAGACACATTGCCATTAATCCCTGTCACAATACTCCTTACGTCAAACACAGCCCATCATTCTTGCCACTTTCTGAAGCAGTTTGAAAGTCCTGTCACAAGTGTTTTTAGTTGCACTGTTATGGCTGCCTCTGACTGAATTTTAAAAAAAATGTTTACCACTCATATTCGTTTTAACTTGGGAAAGAGCCAAAGATCTGCATGGTGCCAGATCCGGTGAATGAGGACACACCACAATGTTTTTACCAGCCTGGCGCTGTTGGAAAGCACTCAGTGGCATCGTTCACCTCTTTTTTTTTTTTGGTTGTTGGTACCAGAGATCAAACTCAGGACCTTGTACTTACTAGGCAGGTGCAGTGCCACTGAGCCAAATTCCTGGCCTCACTGACCTTATTTTTGATACCACCTCATAAGACGCAAGAGGACTTCCTGAACTGCTTCAGAAAGTAGCAAGATATCTGGAGTAAGTGGGTTTGAAGTTAAGGGGGAAGTATTTTGAGGGGGCTTAATGGCAGTTTTTTACTGTAATAAATATTTCAAATTTTAAATATTTACCATATATTCCAACCACACCTTGTATTTAAGCCTTGATTAAATTAGAATTTTTTTTCCTTAAAAACTTTTGTAGTTAACAATGGCATATTATTGTGGTAAGCTTTTTCAAAATTTTGATGATTCAAGCACATTTTTTTCATTCCATTTGTTTCCTCCCATTGTTCTAAAATAGAACTTTCAGTTCTAGCATTCAAGAGGCTGAGGCAGGGAGGATCACCATGAGTTCAAGGCAATCTTTGGCTACAGAGTGAGTTCAAGTCTAGTTTGAACTACATGGTGAGACCTTGTCTCAACCAACCAATAAATAAATAAATAAGACTTTAATATTATTAAACCTCAAAAAATCCAGGGCTGGGGATTTAGCTCAGTGGTTCTATCACACTCACAAGCACAAGGTCCCGAGTCCAATCCCAGTACCAAAAAAGAAAAAACGATCCACCTAGGATGGACAAAGCATCACCAAGGGAAAGAACTTTATCTTTACAGAAAACAAAATGTTAAGATTATAGAGAGATGTATTCTTTACATTGGCTATTGCGTTAGAATCCTCTTACAGGAAATGAAATAGTTTTTGCACTCTTAGCATTAGAATTCCTAAACTAGTCTCTGTAGCTAAAGTTTTAAAATGTATAGCTTGAAAATGAAGTTAATTTTGCATTATAAGAGCACACCATGATTTATGTAAAAAGTGTTCATTTGGTGTATTTTTTTAAAAAAGAAAGCACTTTCATATTAACAAATAGCATGGTTATGAATTTTAGATTTTCTTATTCATTGTGTCTATTCAGTGAAGTAAAACTGAGCATTCAAATGTTTGTTGATGGCAACATTAACTATTAAATGAAAGCACCTTATACTCTGCTGCTTAAACTTGCTTGTAATTGCACCTTTGTTACCTGCACATTTTCACACAGAATATTGTAACTGCTTCGTGTGGGTCTGGATGGAAGACTAGTGGGCCTACAGGATCATTTATTTATATTGTTTATATTACAATAATATATTGTAGACTAGTTGGAAGTTCATTTCTTTACAAATAAAAGCCTCTTCCATTTGGTTGGTCTGTTGAATTTTTTTCCTTTAAGTTTATAAGATGTAGGGAAATTTAAATAAACAAAAGCTTAATGAGGGATTCGAAAGTTATAAATTCTCTAGGCTTAAAATCTGCAGTGTGTTATGTAGATACTAATCGAGTTCATATTTAAAATATTCCATTTTCACAGATGGCCAGTTGGAAGATAAGGCATTCAGAGGAAAACCAAAGGGTCCAGGTTTAGACCTTCAAGAGGTTTAAACACACCCTGTTGTTCAGTTCACTCCAGGTTTATTTCTACTGAACTTTGGACACACTTGACTTTTTTTATAGAACAATGTGATCTCTATTCCTATTTTCTTTTTTTTCATGTGTTACTATGCAGTATAGTGGATGCTTCTCTGCCTTGGAGTGTCTTTTTGTCAGAACCTGATGTGGCCATGTGATTCAAGTCACACCAGTCATTTCCTGGGATTTTGTATCTAAAGCTAAGAGATGCTCTGAATTGGAATAATAAAAGTGCGGGTTCTTGGCAGCCAGAAGGCCCACCATGTGGACGAACAAAAGCTGACATCTAGAGATTTTTCTAGAACTTTGTTTTACCACATTGTTTCTAATATCCAACTTTTTCATAAATGGCTCAGGCTGAATATGCCTTATCTGAAGTGCTTAATACCATAAATTTTCAGATCTCAAAAGTTTTCCATATTTGAGTATCTGCATAAACTTGACTAGCTGAGGATCTCCTATCCAAAAACCTCCAAAATTCAAAACTTTGTGTCAATATTTTTAAAATTTTCAGATTTCAGAGCCTTTTTGATTAGAGATGCTTAACCTATACTTACAACTAAAGGAATTCCTAATCACCCTGCAACATTTTTTGATTTTTTTTTTTGTTTGTTTGTTTGTTTTTTTGGTACCAGGGATTGAACTAGGGTCCTTGTGCTTGCGAAGCAGGCCACCGAACCACTGAGCTAAATCCCCGGCCCCCAACATTTTTTGATTTGACCTAGGTGGCTAGTGCTAACTGCACAAGTAAATGGTTTTCTTCTCTATGCAGCCTCAAATCCTTAAAATAGTCATGGGTATTGTGCATTTTTGGGTAAAAATAATTAGGAAACATTTTTATTTTTTGTTTTGGTTTTTTGAGACAGGGTCTCACTATGTAGTTGAGACTGACCTGGAACTCACTATGTAGTCCAGGCTGGTCTCAAACTTACAGCAATCCTCCTGCCTCAGCCTCCCAAGTGCTGGTATTACAGGCATGCACCACCATGCCCGGCCTAGGAAACATTTTTCACATTTGACTGAAACAAACTTTTTTTAAAAAACAATGAATGATGGCTATAGGAGAAGTGGGAAGGGGAGGGGAAAGGAAAAAATGGAAACAAAGTCTTTGTAAATAGAGAAGGATGAAGGGGGTGAAGGTAGGACGGGTATGGGGAAAAAATAAGAACCAAGATATATCATGTAAAGGTACAAGATCTCCATGATAAATGTTAACTGTATTGTTTGCTTTGAATGTACCGATAAACTTAATGAGAAAAAAATATATAGAAATTTAAAAAAAAACAATGGGGGGCCAGGAATTTAGCTCAGTGGTGCTGCCACCTGCCTTGTAAGTATAAGGTCCCAAGTTTGATCCCTGGTACCAAACAAAAAACAACTAAAAAATGAATGGGATTAATGAAGAGTAGTGTCTCACAGTGGTAAAGAACATGAGCTCTGGAGCCAGACTTCTGAGTATGAATCGCATACCCTTTCTCAACCCTTACTGACTAGCTGTGTGGTCTTCCAGTGAGTTTAATTTTGAAGCTTTAATTTCCTTATCTGTAAGAGGAGGGTGATAATAATATATATGAAAGTTATGAAAAATCAGTTACTGTGTATAAAATGCAACAGTGCCTGGCACAAATAACTTCCTATGTCTTTGCTATTATTTGTGCTCCAGTGCACTTGTTTAGGACATTTACAAAATAATGCAAAGGAATGTATTTGTGGATCATGAACTCAATTTTGTGGGTCACAAATAGCATGTAGGGACAAATTATAACATATACACACACATAAATAAGCATATCATAACATAGGAACATTTACTATTAAGATAAAAGCCACCAGGTGGGAATGGTGGCACACACCTATAGTCTCAGCTACTTGGTAAGCTAAGGCAGGAGGACCACAAGTTCAAGACCAACCAAGGCTCAGTGAGACCCTGTCAAAAAATAAAGAGGGCTGGGGATGTAGCTCAGTGTGAAGGACCCAGGTTTCAATCCCCAGGACCACAAAAAACACCAGTTTTAAAAATGCTCATTTTAGATTTATACAGTATATTTTTAGTATTTGTAAGTGGTAATTAGATCAAAATATCTACATAGCTTGATACATAAATGATCAGAGTATCTGCCACTCATTGTTTTTTACCCTAGTGGTTCTTAACTTGTGCCATTATGCTCACCCACCAGGCGAGGCCTGATGTGTGGAGACATTCTGACTGTCACTACTGGGTAAGGAGGTGCTGTTAGCGTTGAGGAGACAAAAAGCAGGGATGTTAGATGCTGCTAATTATAATTACCCTGCACTGCAGAGAGCAGCCTCCACCACAAATAATTACCCATCCCCAAATCCCAGCCTCATGGCTGAGCAACTTTGCTTTTACAGTGTGATAAACTACTACAGTATGACTATGGTTTGATATGCAAATATATGACCAAATAAATCCAGTATGTCACGGAAGATAACCTACTCACTACTCCCATTTCCAAAGAGTAAATGAAACTCTTCTTCCACAAATACTTTTAAAAATTAGCTCAGTTTTAAATGAGCTAATCTTCCTCTTAAAGTTTATACCACACCATTCTAAGAAAGTGGTTTTTATTTTTTAAATATGATAAAATGTTTAAGTTCATATTTTAGAGTTGGTGAAATCTCAGATTTGTATAATATTTTGTATCCAGTTTTTTGGGGCAACAAGAACATCAGTATGGTAAAATATTAACTCATTTCACTTTTGTATTAATAAATTTATTTATACAGTAGTCCTAAATAGACGTAAGAACTTCTTGGCATTATTTTGTTTTTTACAGAAAACTATATCATAACCCCAAAAATATGCTGGAAAAGTATAAAAGGTTAGAGGGAAAAAGAGCTTCAGTTTAGTCCCACTTTCTGGCATGTCCTGAGTCACCATTCTTTCCTGTTTTTAAGATTATGATTTTTATAACTGGTTCAGTTTTAAAATGGCAACATATTAACAAATTATTATTGATATAGGCTTTTCAATTTGTCCAAAATTATGCATTCTAAGTGGAATGAAGCAGCATTTCCAGTTAACAAATGGGTCTATGGGTAATGAGGTATCTTTTAAATAAAGTTTGTGACAATTAAACCAACAAATGGTGGCAATGAGAAAACTATTGACAAAGTACAACCAGGGAATGTTCAACTCAATATATGCAGGAATCTGTACTTTAAGTAAAAGAATGAATACCTGAAGCAGTACAAATGGTAACCAGGTACCAAGAAAACAGACAATGAGCTTGGGCAACAGTATTCTTTTAGAGTTTACAATGTAACTAGGGAGGGATGAAGAAGAAAAATATAAGATAGGCTCATTCATATAGGAAGTTATTCGAATAGCCTGTACCAAGGTAATAACTTCTGACCAAGAGGTTGTAAGAGCCAAAAATAAAATTATAATCATGGAAAGTGAGAGGCAGTAACTCTGAGTGCTGACATAGACAGGACATTGGTAAGAATAAATATTCTGTGCCTTCAGACTGCGGTAGATACCTGGTTCTCCCAAAACATAAGCAAGAACTGAAATCCAAATCAAAATTACTACAAAGAAATAAAACGACTTCTGACATTTAGATGAAAGCTTGGTAAATTTAGAGAAATTCAGGCAATAATCTATACAAGATATTAAGAAGACTGGATAATGCAAAAAGCCATAAGTAAATGAAATAATTTGAGCAAAGAGGCAGATATGGTATTTAGTAAACCTAATACCTAAAAGTACAAAATCTTTAAAATAGGATATAATGGAAATGTTTACTAAAAATAAAAAATCAACAAATGCTAATGAAACACAAAAACATTCCATAAAATTTTGATAGCTATTTTTTCTTCTCATTGCTAGTGTGAGGATATTTAGTAATATTTTCCCAAGTACAATCAAGAACAACAGACAAGTAGCATCTAGAGGCTGATTTGTTTGATGTAACTGGTACTGAAAAGAGCAGTTGTCTGAAGAAACTGGTGTCATTTTTAGTTAAATTTCAAGAAGACCTGCTGAAAAATACATAATAGAACACTGCTTCACTTTATTTTCCATTCCTGCAAAACAAATGAAAAGAAAACCTGATGTTATCTTGATGTCACCTATTTTAAAAGCATGTACTTCTACTGTAAAAATCTACTTGTCATTTATCATAAATAAAATTATATTCATAATGGTTACAGAATACTGAACATGATCAAGAAGAATTAATGTATTAAGTACAGAACTCTCAGATTTTTAAACCAAAATGTTATGTGACTAATTCCTATGTTAAGTTTTAACATTGTGAAGAAATATTAATCTATTAAAACCACAACACATGCCTAGAATAATGTCTGACAGTAATACTCAAAATAATCACTGATAGTTTTCAATCCAATTCTACTGAATCTGGACAGCAATACCTACTTTTTGTCTTTTTGCTAGTGAAACTTAAAGGCTATGCTTATGGGTCCTTCAACATACCAGTTTTCACATTCTTTAGGGGCACAATCATCATCAAAATGAAATCTTTGAGCTGAATGTGGTGGCGTATGCCTGTAAACCCAGGACTTGGAAGGCTGAGGCAGGAGGATTGCTGAGAGTTCAAAGCCAGCTTGTGCTATACAGTGAGTTCAAGGCCAGCCTGAACTACATAGTGAGATTCTGTCTCAAAAAGGGGGTGGGTGTTGCCGCCACCTGCCTTGCAAGTGCAAGGACCCAGGTGCGATCCCCAGTACCTAAAAAAAAAAAAAAGAAATCTTTCAAGCTCAAAAATGCAAAATAGATGGTTTAGCTGAAAATAATGGAGGAGGATAAGAATTTACCTTCTGAGGGTTGGGGATTTAGCTCAATGGTTCTGCCACCTGCCTTGCAAGCGCAAGGACCCGAGTTCAATCCCTGGTACCAAAAAAAAATTTTTTTTTACCTTCAAGATATGATCTTTCTTGTATCATACCTGAGAGAGACCACAGAGTAAGAAGAAAGCAGTGGCAAACAGTGGGGCAAATGAGGATGAAAAGTCTGACAGTGAACCATCAGGACACTCTGAATTCAAGGTACAGGAAGTAACAAAATTGATCAATCAGGCTCTAGCGAAATTTAAAACAGAAGTAATTTCCCAGATAATCATAGAGCTGACAAGCAAAATGAAAGTTATAATTCAAGACTCCAGAACAGAAAGAGAGGAAAATAGATGAGCCTCAGGACCACAAAAGAAGCCATGAATGTCCAGCATAAGAAAGAATTGGAAACAATAAATGCCCAATATAAGAAAGAAATGGAATCCATAGGGCAGATTTGAGCAGACATCCAGGAGATTAAAAACTCCATTGAGAGTGTTTGCAACAGAATAAGAGTCCAAAGACAGAATCTCAGATATAGAAGATAAAATTGCAGTCAGTGACCGTGAAAAGAGAGATCTCTTAAAAACAGTAGGGGATCTTGAGAAATCGATCCAACAACTCTTAGATGATGCAAAGAAGAATAACATAAGATTGATAGGAATCCAAGAAGTAGCAGGAGAAAATGCAAATGACTTAAAAAAGCTGTTCACAGAATTAATTATAGAAAACTTCCCAGAGAGGAAGAATTTGACATATAAGTGAGGCATACAGGACTTCAACTAGCCATGATCAAAAAAAAATCTACACCTAGAAATATAATAATCAAGATCCCAGAAACCCAACAGAAGAACAAAATACTACAAGCAGTAAGAGATAAGAAACAAATCATATGCAAAGGAAAGCCCATCAGAGACTTTTCAACACAAACCCTTAGGTTAAGGAAAGCCTGGAATGAGACATTTGAAGTACTAAAAGAAAACAACCTCCAACCTAGACTGATGTATCCTGCAAAACTTTCTTTCAAAATGGATGGGGAAATAAGATACTTTCATGACAACGAACACCTGAGAAACTTCATGAATACCAAACTAGCACTACAATGAATTCTAAACCATATCCTAGAAAAAGACAATGAAGGTAACAACACAATGAGGTCCAACAGAGCAAATCAAATAGGTAAGGTAAGAAACTAAAAGGAGAAGGCGAAAAAAACATGACAATAATAAGTTAGTACATATCAGTTATAACCATCAATATCAATGGCCTCAATTCACCAATCAAGAGAAATAGAACAGCAGAATGGATTAAGAAGCAAAATCCAATAATATGTTGTATACAAGACACACAATGCAAAAAGAAGCCCATAGACTGAAAGTGAAAGGACGGAAGACTTCTTCATGCAACAGGAGCCCAGAAAATAGCAGGGGTAGCAATCTTATTCACAGACAAAGTAAATTTCCAGCCTAAATTGATTGAAAGAGACAAAGAAGTTCACTACATCCTTGTGAAGGGAACAATTCAAGAGGAAGAGATAACAGATAATTCATTTTCAACCAACTGAGTATGTTAGAAAGCACATATGCTCCTTTTCTCTTTTCTTTTCTTTTTTTTTTTTTCTTTTTCTTTCCCTGGTGCTGGGGATTAAACTCAGCACATTGTTCTGGCTAGGCAGGTGCAGCACTACTGAGCTAAATCTCAGGCTTTACATTTCATATTTTTAAAATTTATCAACACATTAATCTTTGTCTTTATATGTTGGTCTACCAAATTGATGAGTTATTTTGGTTCTCATTTTCTTTGGTTTTTTATTTGAGAATTTATGAAATCTGTATATATGAGTAGTATGAAAAGGATCAAGGTGCATTTGTCATTCTCTCTCATCTCTGCCTTCTGCCAACTTCCTTTTCTGTCATTACAGCTTGTTTGGTTGGAAATTTGTTAAGACAAATTTTGTTGTTATCAATATATCTTTGTACCTATTTTCTACTGATAATAAATATTAATTTTTAAGTAAATTTTATCATAACTATACTTAACTAAATGGATACTAAATCATTAATATCATTCAGTATCTGGTACATACTACAAATTCTCCAACTGCCTCAAAGATGGTATTTGTTTTTCTCAAATCACACAAATCACAAACGTTCCACACATCACTGCACTGTTTTATTATACCAAAGTATATACTGTATTGTAGAAAATATGCATTGTGTATATGTGTGGGGGGTATGTTTTTACACATATGTGTGCACTATTAAATGAGAAACATGCTCATGAATGTGGTAGGATTTTGCACATTTGACATATCGATAGTCTGTCTGGCAACCTTATGATTTCTCTAAATTACATGCTTAATTTAATTCATAGTCATTTGTTTGGGAAGAATATTACATATATATTGTTGTTAAATTCTATCATTATGCTTATAAAAATATAATAAAAATAAGTATGGGATATAATAAAATAGAAACAGAAAATCTGATCTTAAAAATGTGAACTCTTTTAGTTGTTTTTGGATTTTAAATATAAGTATATTTCTTTTCTGTGGGAAGTTCTGTTAGAAAATGTAAGTGATACAGTCAACAAGCATATGATATTTATGAAATTAATAAAACCAAGGAGTTTATAAATCATAAAATTTTGAGGACAGTTTGTCAACTATAATATGTAACTTTGTTTTATTAATAAATATATTATTTCAAAAATAAATGAAAAGAAAATGAGAAAGAACATGTAACGTTTGAAGATCATATCAAACTAAGAATGTATTTGGATTATCAGTCTGTGTTGCATAGATTTTTGTATATTTCATATCCTTTTTTTGCTGTCATATATATGTATATTTGAAATTTTTATTTAGTATCTTCATTTCTTGTTGTCATGTATGTTTACAATCTTTAATAAAAAACAAACAGAGAAAGAAGAAAGCCTGAGCTCCTAAAGGAGGGTTAATAAAGGCAAAGGAGCTGGAACTGAGGCTTGAACAGTAAGTGCATCTGAAAGCAGGGAAAGGGGATTTTGAAAGAAGTCAGAGGAAGAAGTCAGGAAAAAATGGACGGAAAGAGATTCAAGAAATTTATCCTTTAAAAAAAAAAAGGTGGACTCAGTGGTATTTCTGTAATACTGTTCAATCAGTATAAATACCAAACAAAAACAAAACCCTGTAACAATCTTAACCCACAAATGTTAACAATTGGAGATGGGTTTAATGAAATACATAGTATATCATTGTTATGTAGCTATTAAAACTGTTCTCAAGATAGGAAGACAGTTTCCTACCATACTTTTAAAACACGTAGATTTTATTTATTTATTTATTGGTACCAGGGATCAAACTCGGGTCCTTGTGCTTGTGAGGCAGGCACCAGAACCACTGAGCTAAATCCCTGGCCCTAAAAATACTTAAATTTAATCCTTGTGTATTTTTTATATGTTAAAAAATGTCAGCTGGCAATGGTACTCCACACCTGTAAATCCCAGATGCTTTGGAGGCTGAGGCAGGAGGATCACAGGTTTAAGGCCAGCCTAGACAACTTAGTGAGATGCTGTGTCAAAATGAAAAGACAGGGGATTATAAAGCTGTTGATTAGAATGAGTGAGGCTGTGATGTCTAGTACCAGAAAAAAAAAATCATGATAAATTTGCACAATATGTTAAGAGAGCCGTAGGTTATAAAATTATGCAATAATGTACTAATTTTTACAAGAAATTATACATGGTAAAATTATACTTGCAGGTTTTTTCTGCATTTAATAAATTTTACAGAAATAAGGAAATACTGCATTTGAAAAGTAAAAAGAATTGAACTTTCCGAAAAACAGCACTGATTACATATCAGCAAAGGGGTAGTAAAGAGAGTGAAAGTAAAGAAATCAGTGTGAGAGAAGGCTATCAGATCTTTGACACTGTGCACCCTTATTCTCAGGGCACTATATCTATTCTTTAAAAAACTCACTCAGGAAGCCATACAGATAATCTGTGTATATATATCTATGTGTAAGTTATAAAACACAGTGTTTCCATAGATATAGATATAAAAGAACCAGTCAAGTGTTTTCTTACATTGAAGTTTTTTTCTATACTCACACATACTGTAGTTTAACTTGACCTTATCTGAAAAAGTCCCATCACAGGTTCGTGGTACAAGGACACAAAAGCACAGCTGCCAATCTGCTCACTGCCAAGCGGGGCTGCTTGCATGAGGAGCCCTGGATGGAATGACGAGATGAGTCCTATCTGGGCCAAGAAAACAACACGCTGAGTTTTAAACAAGCCAGTGCTGGTTTAAAGTGTGTTTGTGGGGGTGGAGGTTCGTATTTATAAAGACTCAATTCTTTTAAGTATATCTTTAGGATAAAAGAAGTAAAAAAGAATGACCAATATGAGATGATTTTATCCTTTACAACTTCTACGCATAATGGAATGAGCAAGGCTAATTAGATTAACCAAGGGGTTATTCCCAAATTTCCGTGTCATCCTTGCCTCACATGTGGTGTCAGCTGGAAGGCCAGAAAAGCTGACCAGTGCTCTGTAGGGGCTCAGAAGGGTGCACAGAGAAAGGAGAGAATCACCTGTAGCCACCAAGGCACTGACCAAGAACCTCTTCAGAAGAGGACTGAATGATGGAAACAAAGTCTGTAAATAGGGGAGGTGGGAGGGGGTGAAGGGAGGGCAGGGGTATGGGGAAACAATGAGAACCAAGACCTGTCATGTAGAGGTACAAGATCCCAATGATGAATGTAACTGTACTGTATTACCTTAAAAGGACCAACAAACTCAATTGAGAGAGAGAGAAAAAAGAGGACTGAATGAAAGAAAATCTTGAAATGCAAGATATGAGAGAATCATAAAGCTGCAAGAAAAATAAAACCCAGGGAAGACATACAACTCGTGGCCATCAAAAGGAAGTAGACTGAGGAGACTGGACATTTTATAATGGTTCCTGAATACCACAACCTTGAAAACCAATCAAAACCTTCTTAGATGAGATGAATTTTTTTATATGTACTTTACTTCTCTAAAAACCATTCAAATTCCAGAACTGCAAATTCTAATACTTTGTTCTTTAAACTGGCTCCTAGCTCAGGAGAAAAAAATCCTCTGATAAGCTATCTGTTCTCAATTTCCCTTGAAAAATGGTGACAGTAACTATAAGGATTTAGATATTTATAAAATGTGGTTTTGTTCCTGTATGATTTCTAACTACTGAAGAATCAACTCTTATGACTCACATGCAACCTAAAAAATTAACGTAGAAGTCTTATTAAGGAATCTGTGTATTCTCCAGGCTTTGCTTTGTGATCTGGCCCAGTTTGAAAGTATAATTGGGGCGTGAGAAATGAGCCACAGTTTCACTGACAGACTCTTTCCCACTTATAACCCAATTAATTGCAAAAACAAACAAAAAAAAGCAGTACTGGGGACTGAATTCAAGGAGTGCTGAGCTACATCCCCGTCCCTTTTTAAATTTTGAGACAGGGTCTGGCTAAGTTACCTAGGCTGGCCATGAACTTGTGATACTCTTGACTCAACTTCCTGAGTGGCTGAAATTATAGGCATGTGCTACCACACCCAGCTATAACCCAACTAATTACTAACAACATATCATACTTACTCTCCAGAGTCTCCCTAACCAGTGATCCTCCTATTTGATCTTGATTTTACTGCCTTCAATTACGTCACTGTTGGTTCCTTGCACTTCATTTTGCTATGCCAGAATGCTATGTAAGTTCTGTGTGAAAGACAGAAAACAAAACAACCATCAGTTAGTCATCTTTGTAAGTGAAGTCCATGTTGTGTTACTATTTCCAGATCTCTACTGAGAACTGTAACCTTCTATGGGATTATAGCCAGTAATTCACTACTTACATTCTTAAATTCCAGCAAAAGAAGGCTGAGGATATTTAGATTCAAAGTCCATCAAAGACTGAGCGATGGGCATATATAAAATCAAATCTGTTTAAAGAAATCCTGCTTTACATTTCAGGTTTTACTACTAGGGTTGAGTTTCTAAACTAGGGGTTTTCAAACTTTTTCGTTTCAAGATACTCTGACACGTGTTGTATGCTAATGTAACATTTTTAATGAAAAATTACTATATTTTCCTAATCAAAACTTTTTAGTGAAAAGGCATTGTTTCACATTTTGCATTGCCTTAGTGTCTGGCTTAATAGCAGATAGCTGAGTTTTCATCTACATTTAATCAGGTTATCCACGCATCAGGTAGCTTCTGGAAAGTCCTCTGCACATTCATGAGAGATGGAGAGTAAAACAGTTAATAACTTGAGACACTGTATGACCAAAATTAGAAAACTGTGTTGTGCAATCTCATGTGCAGTCTTAGAAAAGTCTGAGGAAAGCATGTGCACCAAACATGATGGGAAGGTGAACATGGCTAACAGTAACACTCTGGCCTACTGTAGTTCAGAAAATGGGATTAGTACTTCACCTGTATCTGTGAGCCTGATGAATGGAAAGAGCCTGTGAAAGAAAAAATCTTTAGTGTTGTCAGGAGTTTTACATACCTTTTATTCAGTCTACAACGATCACAAAAAATATATGTTCTCTGTCCTCATGATCAACACAGCCTTGGAGTTAATAAGCACATTTCTTTAGGTAAGCTTTGGGGTTGAGTTCAACCTCAGGTCTGATTTCAAAACTCATGTTTTCCAGTAAGCCTCAGTTATGGCTTAACTCACAAGTGGAAATATAGACAGGGACCCAATTTACATACTTAACTTTCTAAAAAAGCACCATCCAAATTAGACTGTTTATTACTGACATAGGAAGACATGATGAACTATCCAAACAGATAATTTTATCCTTTAAAAGGTAAATATAAGCTCTCAAAATGTGGTTGTTTGATATGTATTTAAATTCAGTGAAAAATAAAGACACCACTCAACTCTGATAAGGAATAGATATTCTGTATTCATTATTTATATAGCATAATTAGATTCAACATATAAAAAGGACTGGAGATGTACCTTAGCACCCCTGGATTCTATCCCCTTACCTGGCCATTTACAACAAAACTAGAGTTACAGAAGCAGATACAGTGAAAATTACCCATCCTGCCCCCTTCTGTCTAGTCGAGGTTTCTTTCATAAATACAACTACTGAAACCAGTGACTTGTCTATCTTTCCTGAGATTTTCTAAAGCAAGGTCTTTAAAAATTGAAATTTCCTTACTCAAAACAATCAGCCTCCCCAAATATAAAGACTCGGTTCAAAAATGGGTATCTGAAATGAACATACATTTCTCAGACAAAGAAGTAAAAACAGCAAGTAAATATATGAAAAAATGTTCCACATCACTGGTCATTCAAGAGACGCAGATGAAAACAACACTGAGATTCCACCTCATCCCACAAAGAATGGCTACTATCAAGAAATCAAACAATAACAAATGTTGGCGGGGTTGTGGGGAGAAAGGAACCCTTCTCCATTGTGGGTGGGAGTGCAGACTGGTGCAACCACTATGGAAATCAATATGGAGATACCTCAAAGAGCTGGGACTAGAGGTTCCATTTGAACCAGCCATCCCTCTGCTGGGTATCTTTCCAAAAGAATCATATCTCAGAGATATATGCACACCTATGTTTATAGTGGTACAGTTTGTAATAGCTAAAACTTGGAAACAGCCCATTTGCCCATCAGTGGGAAACTGGATAAAGAAGATGTGGTTTTTCTATAAAATGGAATATTACTCAGCCATAATGAATGAGAAATTAGATTCATTCATAGGAAAGTGTATACATATTGAGGATATACTCCTAAGAGAAATAAATAAGTCACACACGTATAAATACTGAATAGTTTCCCTGAGTGTGAATAAACTGTAATAGTACATAAGATCCTAATGATATAATGGACAATGTGAAATAGGAAGAAAGGGGCTAAAGGTGTAGGGAAAGTGGGAAGGGTAGGGGAAAGTTAATAAGGGAAAAGAAAAAAATATGAGAAAATAAAAAAATGGAAATGAAGTGTTTGTAAAGGGGGAGGGAGGAGGGGTGAAGGGTGGGCAAGGGACAAGGGGAAAAATGAGAACCAAGACCTATCATTAAAGGTACAAGATCCCAATAATGAATGTAACTGTATTGTATACCTAATAAGCTCAATGAGGAAAAAAATTTTTTTAAAAATGCAGCAATTACTATTTAAAAAAATTGAAACTTCTACATTGTCATGGCAGTTAACATGGGATTCTTGATTTGCCCTTTCCCTAATATTACCTACATATAGAAAATCTCATGAAGGAGTAGCAAAGATAGGACACAATTCAATCAGTGATCTGACAAACAACAAGAGTCATTTGTAGCAACTCAAATCTAAGACTGCCCATTAGGAAGGTCCATGCAGCCAGGCAGAAGTCAGCAAGTAGAGGTTATCTCAGAGTAAGGGGATAGATGAGTTTTACTTTTTTTTTTTTTTTGGAACTGGGGGGTTGAACTTGGGTCCTTGTGCTTTCGAGGCAGGAGATGAAACCACTGAGCTAAATCCCCAGCCCTGATTTTTACTTTTAGTGTAGAATTACAGCACTTATGCATACTTACTGTCTGCATCTAAGCCCATGAAGGATTTTAGTTCCCAGACCCTTACAGTGAGGTGGGCCCATGTGACCAAAGTACGTAAGCAAAGACGTGCCACCCTTCAGTATTCCTTCTCTGCCAGAGGGAATGGAGAGACCACACATTCCAGATGGCACAGCTCAAGCTGGTGGAGCCTCTGTCAACTTGAGTGACTGTGTGGAGCAAAGGCCTTGAAGGTTCACAACTCATGTATGGTACGAGCCAAGAAACAAATCTTCATTGTGTTAAGCCAATGCAACGGCTTTTGTGATTATTACGGCTTATGCTAATATAGTTCCTTATTATTCTCTGAATTCTTTGACATGTTTTATTAACCTCATGTGTTAATAGTTCTTAAATAAAAAAGCCCTGGAAGGGCTAAACTCCATGGGCCAGGCCTCTCCTATTCAGCCTGATCCTTAATGCTTTTCTGGCTGCTTTGATCGAATTCAGTTCCTCCATGATGGGGAAGCCTTAAATATAGCAAATACGCCACAAAACAAAAACAAAAACAAAAAAGCCATAGAAAAGTGACTTCTAAAAGCACATGATAGCCAGGCACAGTGGTTCATGCCTGTAATCCCAGCACTTGAGCAGCTGAAGCAGGAGGATCACTATAAATCTGAGGCCAGCCTGGGCTACTTCAAGGCCAGCCTGAACTACATACTGTCTCAAAAAAAAAAAGAAGCAACACTATAGAGGTAATATATTTGGGCCAGAGATTTAGCTGGCCAAAAAAAAAGGTACTATATTTGGCAAAGTGTTAGATTTTAATACTTTAATTCCCTAGTTTAATCTTTTATTAAAAAATTATTTCTATATGTTCGCAGTACCTAATGATTATATTCATTGTGGGGAATTGGTACATGTACCTAACACATCTCAGTTCTTTTTTTTCTCCCTTCCCCTCCACTACTGGTTTTCCTTTTTTTTTTTTAACGAGCTTCAGATATATTTTTTTGTAAGTCTCTATCAAGTTAATTTATCATAAACATAGATTAACAGCCAGACTAAGAGGCAAAAAAAAAAAACACACACATAAACCACATAAGACAATTATATGAAATCACTGTACTTTCAGATACATTGGCCAGGCTGAATTACAATAACTTTTTTTTTAATCTTGTCTATCTTTTATCTTGCACTTTATGTGTTGGGGTTCTCATTTAAGAGAAACCAAGTTTGATTTACTTTACTTGATTACAGTCTCAAGGCGCGACAGTTTTCCTGCAAATGACTCGAATTTATCCTTCATGGCACAGGAGCACTCCACAGTATATAAATACCAAATTTTCTTTATCCATTCATTTGTTGATGAACATATAGGCTGCTCCCAACATTTAGCTACTATAATTGTGCTACACTGCTGGCCATTTGAGAAATGCAAATTAAAACAACACTGAGATTCCATATTACTCCAGAAAGAATGGCCATCATCAAGAAATCACTAACAAATGCTGGAGAGGCTGCAGGGAAAAGGGAACACTTTGTTTTTGGTGGGAATGTAAACTAGTACAACCACTATGGAAATTAGTAGGGAGATTCCTCAAAAAACTAGAAATTCCATTTGACTTACCCTTCTAGGCATCTTCCTGAAAGAGTTAAGGACATCATATTACAGTGATACATTTATAACCATAATCATAGGAGCACAACTCATAGTAGCTGAATCTTGGAAGCAGCCTATATGTCCATCAATAGATGAATGGATTAAGACAATGTTATAGTCAATGAAGAAGGGTTGGCCGTTTAGAGCGATGCTCATTTCCCAGCCAGGTGGCAGGAAGCTTCGTGTAACTTTGCTTCCCATTGATCTGATCAGAACTTCTGATGGAAATGAGCTGAAGTTGCTGATATGCAGCCTCAGTGATGCTGATGTGAAAAAGTGGAGACAGCATTTTATTTACAAGAATGGCTACTTCACGAATCACCCTATCATTCAGTGGTTCTGGAAGGCTGTGCTACTGACGGACACCAAGATCTAGTTACTGCCATTTGTCACAGGGACATCTTGGATTTACTGAGTTTTGGTTCCAATGGTCCTCAGCTGTTTACAGTAGAGCAATGGGGTATTCCTGAAGAACTGCGGAGAGCTCACAGATGCTTTATGGCCTTAACTATATGAAACTTTTGAGATTTGTAAGAGAAACTTCTCATGGCTGTGGAAAATACTCAAGGATTTGAAGGGGTGGATTAAGACCTCCTTCTGTAGGTTCATCCAGCACATCCATCCATGTGCTCTTTTACATTATTATTATTATTATTATTATTATTATTATTATTGTTATTATATCACTTTTGGTACCCAGGGATCGAACTAGGGACCTTGCGCTTGCAAGGAAGGCAGTGGAACCACTGAGCTAAATCCCTGGTCCTGCATTATTATTAATTTCGCCATTTTAAATGGGCTTGTGGCACTCCAAAATAATAATAATAGTAACATCAATATCACAAATCACTATAACTCACATAGTAATAATGGAATTTGAAATATTATAAGAATTTTCAAAATGTGACAAATAAAGCAAACACACACTGTTAGGAAAAGGGATGCCAAGGCTTGCTTGATGCAGGGTTGCTACAAAACTTCAAACTGTAAGACACAATATTTGGAATGCACAATAAACCAAAACACAATGAGGTGCACCTGTATATATACTTTGTTCTTACTATTAAAATTCTTCTAGATGGGTGTGGTGGTACATACCTGTAATCCTAACACTCGAGAGGCTACATGTTGAGTTCAAAAAAATCTTCTAACCATATGAATGTATTTAGTATTTAAACTAAATATACAAAAAAAGTAAAAAACTAAGTTACCCACAAAATGGCTCAACTATCAATTATACAATATATTCATTTTATTTTTTAAAAATTAGATAAGTTACCTACAAAGTGGTAAAACTGTCA